AAAAAAAAAAAAAAAAAAAAAAAAAAAAAAAAAAAAAAACCGACAAAATGAAGACATACAGAAAGTAGACACACAGGAAACTATGCACTCACACATACATTTTTAAAAAATGCAAATCAAAAGACAGTATCCTTTAGCACCTATAAGCTTAGCAAAAGTGAAGAATATCTTTAAAAATTCAATATTGTGCAGATTTTAAGAAAAGAGGTATATTCCAAATTTGTTAGAAAGAACTGAAATATCCCAGAATAAGGGAAGTAGTTAAATAAACTATGATATATTAACATATCTGTGCAAAAATGATGAATGTGAGCAAATATAGAAAGATGCTTCTGAAACATTAAGTAAAAAAGAATTGCATACAAAGTGTATGTACACAGTGGAAACTGTATATGGGTGTATAGAAAAACACTGGCAGGACCACAGAAGAAGGCAACAGAAACCTGCCCATTTAAGAGCTGCATCCACCCCGCCTGTGGAAAGCGCTCAGGAGCTGCAGGCAGACGCTGCCATCTTCAGGGTTTGCCACAGACTCACCCATCTCCATTCAGTTTTACCTTCTCTTTGCTCAATGTCCAACCTCACCCCCAACCACCCACCCCCAACTTTATCCTCCCAATCTGACATTTTCTCCTTTTTCCATCTTTACTTCTCACAACACACTGTAAGGTAGACATTATGACCATTATTAGCAAATGATTGAATGAGTAAATGGTTACAAACGAAAGCTCAACAGAAGCCTTGTTTTCACATCTTCCAAGCTGGACAAGCTGCTTCTTGTTTCGTGGAGGCCTTTAAGGTTTACCTGGGCAGGGCTTCTTGGCCGACTGAGCAGCGACAGAAACCAGAGGACTGGCTTCTGCAGCCCCCGCTACATGCACTCCATGTTTCTCAGAGCCCTGGGGATGCTCACCAGAAGAGGCTGAACTATCTAAAAAGGAGAAAGAGATAAGCTTTCCTAAGACACCCCTTTTATCCCTCTAAGTTTCATTTTATTTTGGGAGCAACAGACCAGCTAACCAGACTTCAGACAAGACTCTCCACACCCTGGACTTGGAGAGTTTGTGTCTTCTGGATTAAAAAAAAAAAATCATATATATATATGGAGAGAGAGAGACTGAGATACACACACAACACACACACACACACACACACACACACACTGTAAACAAGCGTACTTCAAAAAGTTCATGGAAGGGGTCATCTTTTAATTCTATTTTTCCATGAACGTTTTGAAGTACCGTTGTCTACATCTCTATAGCAAGCAGAAGGTCACCAGTTCATATTTAGACGAGACTCTCTAAACAAGGCCAGATGAAGATAATGACAGGCCCTGGACATAGTATAGAGTAGAAGGTCCCTGCCACTATTTGTGATTCATTAGACAGCTCTGACACTGGTACATACAGAGCCGTCTCTACCTTCAAACACATGAAGTCTGCCATCAATATCCCAACATGAGAAAACTCCATATTAAAAGCTTAGAGACTCTGCCTGTGGTGATTTGGTTTTCCCAGCAGCAATTCTTTTAAGCCCACCACCCACCGATTTTTAGCTACAAGCAAATCTAATAAAGTAACCTGATTGTATCGTAACTAAAAGAACATCAAACCACACTTTGTAGACTTTAAAAAATGACCGAAAGACTATGAAGTAACATGGGAAGATATGTATGGTGTTATATAAAATGAAAATTGAAGATACTAATGTGTTCATTGAGCAAAACTGGATTAGTGTTTGTACAGTAGTAGAACTGAAGGGCATACAACAAAATGTTAACAATTATTGTGCATTAGAGTGAGTGGAACCATACTCAATTTTTTATTTCTAGTCTCTATTTTCCAAATTTTTCTGTAATGTGGATAAACTTACTGAAAAATTAAAAAGAAAAAATTTTGATTCTATTTAATAAAAGAAAGCCATCCCTACATTTTTACCTTCCCAGTCGCTGGCTCATCCTACTCTTCTTCCTAACCAACCTCTTAAATGACTGTTTTATCTGCTTCCTGACCCCCAATTTACAGAGAGCTACACTGTTGAAACGCTTGGGCAGATTCTATTAGCTGGCAATGCTGAAAATCAACTCCATCCCTTCCCTCCTTTGCTTAGAATCACAGTTCTACATCATAATATGTTGACTGTCCTAAGCTTTCCCAAGGACAAAGCTACAATTAAAATATGAAGTGCTTTGTCCCCAGACTCACTTTCAAGTCACTGTTCTTATTTCTCTACAGTGAAGAATCTCAAAACCACACTGTTGACAGTGCTTTGTCTACCACTGCTATTCCTACCTTTATTTTCAAGCATCTTGTGCAGCTTCATATGCTTGTAGGTAGAGATTATCTGATAATTAACGACACTTGGAATATTCAGTCCTTGGTCCTGTAGCAACTTCAGGGCTGTGGCATGAATGAGCTGATGGGACCGTTTGCAGGTCGGAAGCTTGCACTCTCCTCTGACAAAGGATTTGCACACGTGAAACTTGTTGCATTTATCCTTGAGGTTGCAGTAGCCATAGAGGGCTTCACCTTTGTTGTAGAGCAAACAGACCTGGTACAGAAATGAAGCAACACTTGAAATATCAGTTAATATCTTTTTAGCTAATAAACGACAGCTTCTCTAGCTAAAATGGAGATTAAATGGCATCTTCTGATCATCACTGGCTGTTAAAAATCTTTGGGTGAAAGGCTGCCAGATAGTGTAATAGTGCCCCACCCACACCTCCCCGCTGCCAATGACTCACAGCTGTCCCTCTCTTACCTGAGACCCTCGGTTGACCTGCTCTCCTCCCCCAAATCCTGCAGCCAATGAGGGACTTACATGGAGGTACAAAAGCTGTCCTCCTTGCCTCAAGATTGGAACAATTTTTCAGCATAATTTTTGTTCCCTAGTCCCCACAAATCAAGTAAAGGCCAGACTTTACCTTGCTCCTAGCTCTTCCTTCCCTACATCCTGCGTCTGTCTCTCCCATACAGGGCTTTCCTAAAGAGCNCTAGCTCTTCCTTCCCTACATCCTGCGTCTGTCTCTCCCATACAGGGCTTTCCTAAAGAGCACGCCTTCAAAAAATCATATCACCTGAGTCCCTACCTCAGGCTCTGCTTTCAGGAAAATCAACCTTAACAGGTAGTATGATCATATATAATTTATGATTCAGACAAGGACACTTTTTAGGATGCAAGAGAGCACTACTAATAATTATAGTGGGAAAACTAATGTAAACTGCATCTTCCTTAGGCAAACCAAGGCCATACTGATGGGAAACTTTATAATGATGGATTGGACTGTCAACTGTGAAATCACTAATCAGTCATAACCTCATACGCACAAAAAAAGGAGAGAAATTATATGCCTTCTGATGTAATGCAACAAGAAATACAACTGTCCAGGTTTTACATGAAAGTCTGACATCACAGGAAACCCCAGTCCCAGGCAAATGAGATGGTTAGTCACCTAACGATGTACTACATACACAAAAAATTCTTACTCTAAAATCAAACCTAGGGGCCGGC